TCTTCATGTAAAGTGCTGACGTACGGGATTTTCGCACGAGTTATTGGTGATGAATCTTAAATCGAACGAGTGAGCRTAGCGAACGAGTGAGATTTTAGATTCAAAACCAACTCGTGCGAAAATCCCGTACAAAAGAACTTTCCATGATGAAGTTTGTTTATTATATACATACTGAGATTTATAGCGACTTTTGTGCATTTTAATGACGGTTTTGTCTTACAAACTCGCTTGAGGTAATTTGCGATCAAACTATACGATACAATTTAAATGCTTAAGTGGATAATTATAAATAAATCACATCTATAACTTAGTTTATAGTCAATTGCTATTCACTGCATAAGATAAAAATAACGAAAAGATACATTAGAGGAAAGTGCAACAAGCCTACAAACCTTAGTCAATGAAAGTATTTACTTTCTATCGCCGTCGTTGCGAATCAACTTTTACACGCGTTTTATTCATATAATAGTGTTCTGTTTTGGATACTTCTGTTGAAGATGAAGTACATCTAGGACTGATATCTAATACTCAGAAATTTCCCATAATAATTATATCCATTTTGAAATCACTAGCAAATCTAGAAATCTGATTGGTTCGCATCTTTTTTCAGCCCATCAGATTACCATGCTAAAATCAAATAACCAATCAGAATTAATGACTGGGTTTAGCTAACCAATCAGTTCACAGAATTAAAAATGGCAAAGAAACACTTTTCTTAGGCATGTTTTTGTGAGAAGTCTACACGAAGGAAGTCTCAACGATCCAAACGATTGTCAAAAGAGTGCCGCTGGTTCCTGTTAGTGAATTTCATCTTTAACAGCAAAGCAAATCAAGCCTACCCATGGGTTTTCATACTGGATTCCTCAGACGACGAAGATTGAACTCAATTGGAAAGTTTGACATCACCTTCTTGTCTTGAGTGAATAAACTTTGTAAATTTACCCACAGGAATTTATTTGTCACATGATGCCATTGTAAAACGTCTGCATACAAAATGAGTTGTAATAGCGTTTCCGGTTCCGCTGTTTTCAAATCGGTTCATTGATGTATTAATTAAATACTTTATACTGAAAAAAGTTGTAATTATATTTGTATGATTTCAAAATGGATATAATTTTAAAGTGGTAATTGAACTTCGTCTCGTGCAATTGTGGTCTAAAATCAAACTTGCAATTACAAATTTTGTAATCGCGCCTTTGATTTCAGAACAAATTGCACTCCACTCAGTTCAATTACCAAATGTCTTGTCTTTAGGCTTTATAAACATAACGAAGTCGTAGAGATGTCAGAGATGTATTCGTTCAGCCTCGTTCGGTCTCTTGGAATTGGATTTCTTTGCTTAAGACTTTTTTTCTCTCGGAAATTCATCGAGTAGCTTTTCATCACTCGCCGTTTTAGCTGTTGAATTTTTATTTTTTTTCCTGACAATATTAGTTGTCAATTCACTTTCTAAAATGCTTTGACTTGAAGTTCTTGATTGAATTCCGTGGTACGTTTTCACAAGTCTTTCCTGGTTGGACGAAACGCTTTTCGCACGTGTGAGAAATTCGTTTCGCTCCTATGACTGCCTAGTTTATATTTTGAAACGGATTTTCAAATAGAAAAAATATGTGAGAAAATCTCAGTATGTGTATAATAAATAAAGGTCTATGATCCTAGCAAAGATCTCATTTTTGATTTTTTTTTTCGATGTTCTAAAAATGTTATTATGTATACATAATTCTATATCTTACAATACCAAACACTACGGACACACAAACTATTTCTTTCTGAAAGCCAACCTCCTCCATTAAACAAATGTATAGAAATTAAATAATTAATAACTAAGCTAATTCTAAAGACCGAAAGTCCTCCACTTATTACAATTCAGAACACTACGGATACAACTATTTCTTTCTAATAACCAACCTCCTCCAAAAAACAATGTGTAAAAAAGTAGATAAATAAATAATTAAGCTAATTTACTAGTTTTAAAAATATTAATAAGACAGACAACTAATTCTATAGCCGACCTCCTCCACATATTACGAGTGGAAAATTACTTAATGAAAAAATCCAAAGASAAAATTGAAAGAAGAAATTTTACTGACGACCTCGACCACATACAAAATTTTTCAAAAAGATAAAAGTACAAAAACCTAACTGGGTGCAGACACTGGACCAAATACACTAACAGATTCATAAATACTCAAAATAATCATTATCTAAGGGGCAAGTTTAAGTTGATAATCAGTAATCTTTATTGTTTAAATACTCAAAGATCTTTCTTGTTTTTCGGATATTGAATGACTTATAGAATAAAATTCTAACTATGACTGATCACACATTACATTACAMYACGTTTCACGGAAGCAAACATCAGACATACGACKGKCAACAGTTTGACGAGCACGGATATCAAACTTACRCTTACGAACCAACTCCACGTACGTCGAGCAGACAGAATTATCWAAAGTAGCACGGTTACGAAACATCCAAATCACACTCAACATGGTCTCAATGACAAACAACATCACACGGTCCTCTCTTCCATAATTTAACAGACATAAGATCACGTTATCACAATCAATCCGGAAGTCRTGCTGGACGACCCCGTGCAACACAAACATAACCCAAAACACAATGCTCCGTCGACTGAACCTTTCCACACACAGCACACCTATCAATCACTACATTGTGTCCCCATTTCTTTAAATTCAGTCTAACTTTCGTCACTCTATGTACCACTCTCCACCTCACCTCGCTCACCTCTCCACAAGCATACGACGACCACACTCCTTTCCACACTCCACTCGACTCTACTCTACTCGACTAACGATATACTTCTCCAATACATCGCACATCTCAGAGGCACAAAAAACGACTTCTCCAAYAAAGCAGTACAGTAAAATAAGACTTGACCTTCACAGCAAGTACCGTAGACACCACATTAGAATAGTAMAAAGGCAGCACATCAGCATTAGGCAACAAATTATTACGAATATCTCCCAACCCTTCCACAAATGCACAAACTCTATTCCACACAAAGTACCGAGCAAAAGCAGATGCCTTAGAATTWCTACTTGTTCCCCAGTCCACCATCCCATACACACCCCTGGCTAACGGTAATAAGCAGTTCTACCCTCCCACCCCAGAGGAACCCCCACACCAAGTTATTAACATCCCTAACAATATYCGCCGGCACATCTAACACCATCCCAACATACTCCAACTTCGACAAACCCAACACCTTTACAATCAAAACCTTTCACTTCACCGACAACCTCCTACCCTTGCATCTATCCAACACCTTCTTCAACTTCTCAACCTTCGAAACCCAATTCTCATTTCTTATAAATTATCCCCAAACCAAACACCCAACACTTTCATCTTAGCAACCCAATTCAATCCCCACGGCTTATCCGTCCTGCTCTTCCATCTCCGAATCCACATCGCCTCAGACTTCCCTCYATTCAATCTCGCACCAGTACCCAACCCAAAATACTTCACAATATCCAACACCCTTTCAACAGACATCCCATCCCTCAAAATACACGTAACATCATCAGCATATTGTCCCAACTTCAACTCTCCCGTATTTGGAACATGAAAACCATTTATCCCCTCCAAACTACGGATACAACACGCCAACACTTCCACAAACAGTACATACAACATAGTGGACAGAGGGCACCCTTGTCTTATCCCTTTCTCCAAACACACCTTCCCAGTCAACAGCCCATTACACAACACTTTACAATAAGCTCCATTGTACAGCACCGACATCCACCTACCAAAACACTCTCCAAACCCCATACTCCTCAAAACCCTCCCAAGAAACAACCTGTCAACCCTCTCAAACGCATTCTCCTGATCACGATATGACAACACTACCAAGGGTTAGGGTTAGGGTTAGCAAAAGCCCATACTTGGCCCTGTAAGTTACAAGGGGTTTGTGAGATGAAACTTCCCAGTCAACAGCCCATTACACAACACTTTACAATAAGCTCCATTGTACAGCACCGACATCCACCTACCAAAACACTCTCCAAACCCCATACTCCTCAAAACCCTCCCAAGAAACAACCTGTCAACCCTCTCAAACGCATTCTCCTGATCACGATATGACAACACTACCAACGCCCATCCTTTCAACATCCTCCAAGACATCCCTCACCAAACACAAATTATCCACAATCGACGTACCCATCACCGCACACGATTGATCCTCCTCTACAACCACAGCTATCACTCTCCTCAACCTCAAATTCAACGCCTTCGCCACCACCTTGTAATCAACATTCAACAGGGAGATAGGCCTCCAATTCTTCAGATCCTTCCTATCTCCCTTCTTAAACAACAACATAACCGCACCCCTTACCATCCCATCCGGCAACCATCCAACCTTTTCCTTAGTGAACAAATCCATATATATAATAAAACACCTCAACTACATCCAACATCTCATCCTGTTCCGACTATTTCACCCTATCATTATCCTTCAAAACCTCCATTCTGTTAGTTTTTCCCCCTCACGCATGAGACTGAAGAAAAACCTAGTAGGCTTATCCCAGACTCAATCCACTCTGCTCTACTCCTCACCTTCWCCCCCTCAAATTCCTCCATCACCAACGCCTTCAAATCCGCCTCCATCTTCAAAGTTTCGTCACCAACCAGCTCACCAGCCGCCAACCTTCTCTTCAACCTAATAATACTCTTAGTCAACCCATGCCATCTCAACCTTCTCCATCTCGCCCTTTCCTGCCCGTGTTCCACACAAAACTCCTTAATATCCTCCTTCAACCTCGGCCACACTTTCCACCAGTCTTCTTYTTCTCCCCTCAGCCAGCCCCAAAAAGCGACACTTTGCACCATCATGATCTGACAATCSCAAAGGCTTGACATACACGGACGACACAGACGACACAAGACCCCTGGACACATAAATATGATCGGCAATTTCTCCAATTTCTCTTTAGCCTCATTTGGGTTTCAAATTAGTGTTGGAGTTTTTGAAGCCGTTTCAAAYACTCGAGATCGTCTTTTGAATATACGTAATTCAAGCTTCGGATATTATTCAAAAGTAATGATAAACTATACAATACTTTATGCTTTTGATTGGGTGAAGCCGATTCGTAGCCTTTTGCAAACATTCAGACCGCTAAACATCAATATATCAATAATTTTGGGTGCATCATGGKTAATTTTATTCGATTTCGACTCTTCTGTTTACCTGACTGGCGACATTATTTGCAATCACTTGCGTTATGATCGGTTCTACAACATCCTTAACGGAAGGGCTTAGTGCATCTGCAATGGCTTTTACATCTGACAGCTCTTTTTCCAGAGCTTCTTTGACTTGTTCTATGGTCCACTCTTTAGTTTGGTTTCTGATTTGACCCTGTGTAAAGCAATTAAATCAGACTCGCAACCGTTTTCTTTTTTGCTATGCTCGAARAGGGTAATAGAAAGGAATCGCAATTCCTTTTTTTTCATATAAAAAACTTTAGAGASAAAATAACAAGCTAATTACATAAGTACAATAATAGTATTTTCTTCTATTCCATATTATTTTTTTATCGAGCTTTCCACTAATTTTATGTGAGTATTGTTACAAATATATGTCAGTTTTGCAAGAGATGTATCAAACTTTAATAAGATTCGTTTAAAATTAAATTGTACTTAATGTTTAATGTTTTATTACATGAATAGAAAAAAAAAATTTAGTTGACTTTCAAGGAAATTTATTATTCTATTTATTATTCTATTTTTTATGTCAAAATCTAAAAATGTATTTATCTTTCCCTTGTTTCTCTGAAAGTTTTTTTCAAAAGCTAAAGAGACCTAAATTAAATATACGAATCAATTGTTGTATCAATGAACATACTTTGAGCTGGAATAACTATGTAAACTTACTCCAATTTTTTCAGCTCTAATAAGTAGCCTGTCCTTGACACCATCGCTTATAGCTGAAAGCATGTCTTGTTGTTTTTTATAAAGACGTCTGCATTGCTGCCATACACAACTGGATTGACGAGCGGCTTCACCTTGTAATGCTTTTGCTTTTCCAGCTTTGAAATGATAAAAATAGACGACGTAGTTATAAAATGATGATAAAATRTAATAGCAACAGACTACGTTAGTCTTGTCAATCACAGATCAGAACAAGGAACSTCCAGTGGCCATTCCGAAATTCAAAAGGGGACTGAGAACGAGTGTGAAAATAGTCCATTCACCGAAAACTGAACCTGACCACATGGAAGACCACACTATAATTCGTATTCTTGTCAAGTTTGAGACTATTTAGTTAAATACTCATCGAGCAGGTATTTTTTCTTTTTGTTAAAGATGCTGTTACACTGTGCAARTTTGTTACCAACTTGCCTTGCAATGCCTCGAAACGYTTTTTGTTAACTTGCAACGTCCTTGCACAGTGTATCAACGGTCTAACACGGTCGCCGCGAAAGATATTACAGAATGCATAATCTCTCATTTCAAATGTCCGCCATCCTGATTCTGTCTCCCAASTCGTCCAAAAAATAAACAAGATCCAGACAAAACTCGTCATATTTCGTTTTTAATTTCTGAATTTTTTCCTTAATTACCTTCTTTGACTTTTCTGTCTACTGCAAGTGCAGCTGTACTCATGGTCTGAGCCTGGGTTTTGACCTTTTCTTCAAAATTGTTGAGAGAAGCTGTCTCTTTGGAGCATTCCTCGATGACAGGGAAAGTTGTTACAGTTGAGTACAAATCGTGGAGTGTTTCGTAAAGTGGAGGGAATTCACCCATTGCTATATTAAAAGGTACAAAAAGTTCAATGGACTTGGCAATGACTAATTGACGTTATCAACTGATCTTAGTTAGCAGAAGAAAGTGGTTACTTAAGTCTCTTACGAGAGAGTTACCAAATAAAGCCCATTCAACTCAAATCAGCACCTTTATATTTTGAGTGACATTAATAAAAGGCAAACGTACATGTGACCACCTTCGCCGAAACATCTCAAATATGAAACATTTCCAATTTTAATTTTGAACCAATCAGAAAGCACCTTTCAACATGAGATTACTTTGAAAACTAACGAACGCACTTCCTTTCAAAGCGAATGATGTCCAAGTAACTCTTAAGAGCCATATTTTGGCAAGGCTCGAAAAATCAAATCTATTTATATTTTTTATATAGATAAGGTATTAGATAACAATCACTGTGTAATTGGTTTCGTGGGCAAAAAATCATTTTTGCAAGAAAATCCCTAAACAATGTYACATACTAGTTCTTTGCGTGAAAAATGCTTGATTGCTACAAAAAAGCACTCAAAATACCCAAACTTTCTTCCGAGTAAAATAGTTATTTTAAAAAAATTAAATTGTGGCTTTCTAAGTAACTCTTTCTTATCTATTTCGTAGATTTTCGGACCATTTTATTGAAAAGAAAATTTTCTGGAACTCGAAGCGCTTACGTATGTAGTTAGTTATAAACGCGAATTAGTACCTTAAAATAAAGATCAATATTTATAGTTTATTATTTGTGTACATTTTTCGTGCAAGGAAAATGAACAAATACTAAACAGTGTTGAATACCAATGTTTTCAGGGTATTTCTCAAGATGGTCGACCTCTAGTTTCCAGCCTCATACATATTCAAACGCGTGTAAAAAACCCACCCGTTTCGAAAACAATTCATCAAAATCCCGACCCCCGGGGCAATCTTGCTGTTAAAAGCACGTTAAAAACGCGCCACATCCCCGTTCAGTGCCCCGCCAGCTCCGGGGGTCGGGGGTTGGGGATTTCAATTAAAAGTGCATTAATTTTATATTTGAAAAAAATTAATAGGCACTGTAAACGAATTTAAATTGTTTTAAAAACATTTGGTGTTTAACTGATTCTTATCGACAGAGGAAGTTATTTCTATGCAACTGAAAGTAATTTCCTCATAATAACTTTTATGTGGCGCATCTTTTGCTTAGTCATCACTCCGAATTTCATTGCAAACAAAATACTTGCACACAAAAAAGTGATCGTTTTGCAGGTACTAATTTGCATATATTTTTATATGCAAATATTCAATTTTTTTAAATTTAATTTAATGGAATTAAATTTAATTTTTTAATGGAATAAATAAAAAAGAATTACTAAGAAAGCTTCAATTTAAATTTTTAAAATAACTGTTTTACGTTGTCGTAGACTCGGTATAAAGTTTGGCTGTTTTGAAATATTTTAGCAATTTTATCAATTAAGATGGTTTCCTGCACTCTTTTTTATAAGCAAAGGAAAGTCACTCTAGTTAATCTAATAGTATTTACTAGCTCACGTTGAAAACTTACATGCCACGGCGTAGACGGTGTCATTAGATTCACGGCCTGTAAAATGAATTGAGCACGTAGTAAATTTAACTTATATAAAGGGCATCCTCATTTGTCTCACAAATGAGATCTCTTGTTAAGAATCTATATGATAACCGTATGGTTGAAATGTGTCAATATACAGGTATAGTTTTACTTAAATTACATAAACACTCCTAGATTAGTCTTCTGCCTATATGGGTTTGTTGAGAATAATTTACGTTGTTCGTTTTGATAATAAAGTTGAAATTGAATTTGAAAAGATCCTCACCCTAAGCTTCTCAGGGTTGGGTGATTCGCAGCTTAATTGCCGCTAATTAAAGCCTTTATCGACTTTCATCCTATAGAGGTACCTCGGGGGGGGGGGGGGGGGCTCCCCTATATTCGCTATAAGGGGACGTGCCGCCAGCCAGGGTATCGTTTTCATCGATTTTACCCTAGAACTGGGTATCGTTTTTAGCGATTTTACTCTGGAACAGGCTTTCGATTTCAACGAATTTTCTCTGAAACAGGGTCAGGGTTTAATTCCGGAATTATTGATGCTGGGTAAAAATTCACTGGGTAAAAATTCGGTCTACACGCAGGCTAGTGCTWGATTTTCTCTGGAACAGGATATCGTTTTCAGCGATTTTACTCTGGAACAGGGTATTGTTTTTAGCGATTTCACTCTGGAACAGGATCAGGCTTTGATGTCCCAGCGGCACACCCCCACCCAAGTTTGGGGRGAGTACCCCCCCGGGAGAGGTACCATTGTAATTGAGGTAAACTTACACTCATTAGCATCATCAGCTGCACTATCTTGTGCTTTACAACCTGTTAAAATATATTTGCCAGTTTTTATGATAACTCTTTTAGCAAAATTAGTGTACTATATATGCTTCATTCATTGCAATCAATCGCACACTGCAATTTTGAAAATGTGAAGATTAGTGCAAAAATAAAAATRTAGGCATTCAGTCGAGCATAACTGTATTATAAATATTATTACGAAACTGATGTAATTGTTTCATAAACTTTAAGAAAAATGCCGGACGTCATAGAGAGACGCATTGTCCAGCATCATACTCAAGCTAACGTAAAAAATAATCATGCTTGATTAGAGAGAAAAAGATTGATATTAACAAGAAATGTCAATACCATTTAATGCCACAAACAGCAAGGCGATAATCAGAAGAAAATCTCTCGGCATCGTTGTGGGTTTCCCTCTTAACTGGAATTGACTGAAAAAAAGATTAAAAGATGTGATTTGATTGCATTCTTGCATTCTTCGTAGGTGTCTGGCTTCATATACGAGCAAGGCTCAGTTCAGCTGTGGGGATTTCGTACTCGTCTGCGATAGGCTATCGCGACAAAACTGAAACTCGTTGTTGCATCGTGACCTAAAGTCTTCGAAGTTTATTTGTATTTTCTTTTTTGTTTAGAACTGCTACATGCAGACACAATATGTTCCCAGAGACTATTCCTTCATATTTTTCCATCGCGTCACGCATGCGTTTAAGTGGCAATAGTCATGCAGGGACGAGTTAGCGAGTTTAATGTAAAAGAACCTTTAAGCGCAATACTTGAATGTTCAAAAAACTTCTAATACCATGCATAATTTCTATGATACTTCTTGAGCAGGAATAAACGAAACCGCAGCAAAAAACGAATGGATGTACCATCAGACTTTTTAAATTTGTGTTCGCTGACAAATGTAGCAATTTTGAACGGTCAAAATTCGTCCGCTACTTTCTATCAGATCGCAACCTATGACAAACGAATTGGCGAACGCGTACACGACCGATTTGATGGGAACTAATAACATATTTATTGTAAAATATCCTGTTAATTATTAATATTGGTTCAATTTCAGTCTCAATTTTCACAACCCAAMAAATGAAATTCTTTATGTCAAACAGCGCCACCATATTCCCTTTCGGTTTTKCAATTTCCCTTTGATAATCCGGCACCATTTGCCRTACTTTCCGAACAGTGTTTTCTTCTTTGTAAATTGATGTATACAAGCTTCATGAACGAGAGCAGGAATAATACCAGTACCTTTCAACCGCATCATAAGTCACYAACTTATGGCTTAAAACATTCGCGCTATTCTATAAGCAAACGCAGATTTATTAAATGCAAATTRACTTGAAATTGTCAGCCATCTGAGAAGAACGATCTTCTAGTATGTTCAACACATAATAAATTGAGAAGACTTCGCCGGGAATTGCTTTTTGAAATATGATTACTAAAATTCGCTTATCATTCCATGCAAAATGCGTTAAAAAGTAAACAATAAACATTTTAAAGAGTAATAACTTTTAAAATAGAGATAAACGGAATTCAGATTTGTATATAAGGCTAAAATTAGATAATTGAATTTCTGAGTGCTTTAAAACTAATAACAACCTGCAATCAAAACAAAATGAGTCCTATAATGTCATTTCAAATAGAGTAATTTCTAGGAATAGATGGCGTTTCTCACCTTTCTCTGTCCTAGAGATGTTGYTAGTCGAYTGTGTTTGCGACAGTACAAACTCATTAATTAAACCGTAGTGTATGGGCGGTACTGATAAGCAATGAAGAGGTACGACAATTCACATGTTGGAATCTCATAGGTTGATTGAGTTCACCCCGTAAGCTCGGACAAGACGCAAAGAAAAAAAAGGAGCCGCCAAATTTTAATTTTTCATGAMTTYTCATGAACACAAAAGCTGTGAAACACGACTAGTTTTACGATTATAAAATCCTGTATAAAATAAAATCGAGGTTTAAATATATTCACACGAAATGACGAGACACTGAGTTTGGAAAAGATAATGATAGATTGATCTGATTGATGTGTGTTTTTGTAGAGGTTGTCGTGAAACTCTTTGTGCTAGCGTAAAAAACCGTGAAATAGATAATACACTAATACACCTAGTAGAATGCAAACACTAGAGTAAGGTCATAAAACCGTAAAACGATATTTGAAAGTCATGATAGACACAAAAGAAAACAATGCAATTAGAGCGTTACTAAGGTTTATCATATAATTATCTATGAAATACCTATATTTCTCAATTTCAGTTGATATTTTCACTAGTGAAAATAACACATTCGAAGTTTATCTGTATAGTCGAAGTAAGAAAAAAGGTATTTTACGACATAATTTGCTTTCATATTTAATTATATGATAAACAGAATATTACATGGTCGCTTGGAGATACGAATTTTATCTTCGAGTGTTAAAAATATCTCTCAGGAGCGAGCGTATCCCATGTAATATCCTCTATGTATCAGTGTAATATGTATTTGACGGGGTCTTAACGACTTCACTCAAGTTTTCCACGTTCTTATATTTTGCACTCTACGCTCTAGTGTGAAGTCACTGGAAAAGCTGTGAAAGCAATACACCTGTAGCACGCTCTAATTTCATGGTATTCTTTTGTCTATTTGTCTACAAAACTGCAATAATCAAATTTTGTGTCAAAATATTTTGCATCATGAGTATAATTACATCATTCTATTGTTTCTTGTCAAATATAATGTTAAAAGATCAACACAGAGAAAACAAAGGAATCGGTGACCAGTCTACCGTCCTTTATTCGCTCAAACATCTCTCAGTTTCCCAGTTTTTTTAGTTTCCTTTGTGATTGTTAATGAAGTTTTAACTTCACCATTTGATTTGAATTCCAAATCCTTCGAAGGTATTTGATTGCACTTAGAAAAAAAGCCAACAATTAGACCAAGGAAGCGGTAGAGTTGACTGTCCAATTATAGTTCATTGGACCACGTGATCTAATTGTATTAGCAAACACCAATCTCTGAAATGATGACTTTTTTAACTTTTCTCAATACAACCGTGGTCTTTCATGAATAGACCACCGTAATGTAATAGCAGGTGAGAACGATGGGTTTGCACACAGTTTGGTGGATACTAGAGTGCAAACACCATAAGCGTGAAAAATCGCAAATCAAGGTCCCTAAAAAGTAAATTCACTTTATTAACACAAGTTATCACTATCTTATAACTAAAGATTTCTCATGATTTCTGTTTTTTGCTCTACAGTGTAAAATGTAGATTTTATTTCTCTTTTTAAAATAAGATATTCTCCAATATCGCCAATGATAAAATCAGCTTCTCATTATTACAGCGCCTATCACGTGCAATGTTAATGGCACGGAAATGTTTGCTCTCGATGGTTGGCTGGCTCGTTAAGTGATTGACAGGCCACAAAGAATACATGTCAAACCTAAAAAACTTTCGGAAATCATTAATCGCGATGAAATCGAAAGATTTGTTGTTGTATTATTTTTATTATTTTTTTTTTTAAAGCAAAGTAGTTTCCAATCAATGTATTTTCTCTGTTCAGGTGCATATCTGCTTGTACTTGCCCTCGACCTGTCTTGGGGCGAGGTTTTCTTTATTCTTTATTTATGATTTGACACCATGGTTGAATAGAACAACAAAAGAATGCTCATTAGATTAGAAATCATATATTCTTCACAAACCTACTTTCTACAATAAATGATATAAAAAGTCGGAAGTAGTATACTTTTAAAAATCGTGCATAAAGCTGTTGAAAATAAATATATGTGATTTACCGGCTGGGAGGTCCGTATAGGAAAACACTGCCCGAGGTCTTGACAGTACGGAACGAGYGCAGCGAGGTCCGTACATAAAAGACCGAGGGCAGTGTTTTCTTATACGGACCGACCTATAGCCGGTAAATAACATTTTTATTTGGGTTTTATTTGTATTTTATGCAACTTTGCTCGTAGCCTAGCTGCAGGATACCCGTCGGACCGGGCAGATCGTCAAAAACCGGACCGCGTGCTAGCCAATCACAGCGCGCGAATGACTTTTAGCTATTAAGATAAGGTTTTTAAGTTGATTATATTAATTATATAATTATATCTGCTAAGACTCGTTTTATTTTACTGTTTATTTTGTTTTATTTTTGTGGCCGGTTTCTTTTGTTTCTGCTGTACGATGCATTTTTTTACATTTTTTTATCATTTCGATTGTATATTTAAGATAAATAGCTTAGATTAAAAGTTTTTAATCTAAAGATAAAGACAAACAGGAACTATTATAATGTTTTTTTTTTAATACAAGTGGAAACCAAAAATAACGTACAACGTTTAGAAAAAAGACTGCTTATTTTGATACTTTGCGTCGAGTTCATTTTTTAGACGAACTTGGCATTTAATATATCCGATTTGGTTCAACAGGTTTTAGTTTCCAGAAATCAATATGAAAACGTATTTGAAGTATTTGTTATGTTTTTTACAAATATTCCTACTTTATTATTTTTTGGCTTGAATTTTCGGTCCTGTGAAGATATTTGATTACAGTTCGGATAAACTTAATAGTCATCAAATAAACCAAGCGATCGAGTGGACTACGGGTTGACTGTCCACTGTACTCTGCCGAATTGACTGTCAAATCACAGTTCACAAGACCACGTGGTCTACTTGTATTAGCAAACACCAAACTAAGAAATGAGAACCTTTTTGGACTTTTTTCACTTTTTTCGATGCAGTCGTGGTCTTTCATGAATAGACCACCGTAATGTAATATCTGAACATCTGCTTGTACTTGCCCTCGACATGTCTTGGTACAAGGTTTTTGAATTTCATTATGAATTAACACAATGGTTGAATAGGTCAACAAAAGAATGGCCTTTAGATTAGAAATCAGTTCTTTACAAACCTACTTTCTACAATAAATGATATAAAAATAATCGAAAAAAGTATAAAGAAGAAGTATCAAGAACAAAGGTGTTGACGTTCTTGTTTTGACTCGTTCACTTTATTTCTGCTGGACAATCATTTTTTATTGTTCTGAAATTGTTTTAAGTTTGACTTCAAAAGACTTTTTCATAATCGTAGGAATATATTTAAGGTGAAGTACCCTTACTATAAGTCTAAAACGTACACAATAAACGGTAAATTCAGTGAAAACTAGTTTCGTTCAAAAACCTCTTGAGTTCACTAATGAAAGTTCGTTACATTCACCACAGGTAGCCCAAGCACTGGACTTGGCAGTGAAGAACGAAAAGTTAGATAAAAGTGGTAAAACTGAATAAAATTATTTCAAACTACAACATAGTGTTCTTCTTATTTTTCTCAACACCCCTGTGAATCTTCTGCTCATTATGGTAAACTTTCCCCTACTTATATATATTAT